ACTTTGACCACAGTTACTCTGCGCACCTTGACCTGATCGAGGTGACTGACCACCATACTGACCACCTTGACCAGCTTGACCACAGGGTTGGTTAGCAGCATATTGCTGACCGCCTTGACCACCTTGACCACCTTGAGCACCTTGACCACAGTTAGCACCCTGAGCACCTTGACCAGATCGAATCGGTTGACCACACTCTGAACAGGCCTGATCAGAAGCATATTGCTGAGCTGCGGGAGATTGAGCTTCCTGATAGCATACTGTACACTGTGGATCAGTAGAATATCGCCTATTGCCAGGCTGAAGATCACCATCATCCAATCCGCACATTCCGCAATTGCCACTCTGATCGTAGTTTGCTGCATTTGGCGCATCATCGGAGCCACAGGGACAATGGACGTCATCGTCAAATGGTCTAGCCTGTTGTTGATAACCTCTTTGATCGTAAGGATTCTGATGGACTGTGGGCGATTGGCCAGTCTCACTTGTGGCAAAGCTGGCGATATCTTGAACCATCATTGCCTCCCCGCAGCACATCTGAGACTCGTCATATTGCATATTCTGTTCGTCACACATCTGGGCGTACTCATCGGCATCTGCTGCCGCCTTCTTTTCCAAATACGCCTCGCTCGTTATGGGACAGTCCTGCAGGGTCGATGTCATGTTATCGCTGCCGCAGTTGCAGTCGTCGTCAGCGCCGTCGTTGCCGCTGTTTGAAGTCAGCTGGCAGCCGTACCTGACCAGCAGTTCGATCAGAACTCCGTTTGTCCACCCATAGCCGGTATGGTTCTGTCCGTCCGGACTGCCAACGCCCATACCGGATTCCTCGCAATTGTACTGAAAGAGCAGGGGAAAAAGAAGTTAGATTTCTAGACGTTCCACACAATGATCAGCTTACCTTTTCGAACATGAAATTGGTTTTAGTGTAGGCCTCGTAGTTGGAGAGGACCCAGCGCTGTACCCAACGGTTCGCCATATCGGTCGCCTCGGGCGTGCCCAGATTGTTGAGGCCGTCGATCAGCATTAGCATCATGGGTGGATAGACATTCGGGTAGTCCCACAATTGGCCAGTGTTGCTTAACGTGTGCGGCACACCGCCCGGATAATAGTCCAGCTTATTCTCCTCGATGTAGCACATTACGGAGTTGGAGATCTTTTCGGTGTCAGCTATGGGATAGGCGTGCATCCAGAGCGGCGATAGGTTCGTCACTGCGAAGTAGTCACGCTGCTTTCTATTCTTTAGATCATAGTCCAGCCAGACGCCCCGCTCCTCATTCCACAGCACCGCCGTGATGGCCTTGATCAGGCCGCAGGCTGTGGTCCGGTATTGCTTCGCCTTGTCGGCACAGCCCGCCAGGGTGAAGAACTCGCCGAGCGTTTTACAGTTGCGGAACAGAATGCAGTTCAGTTCGACGGGCACTATCCAGCCGGTCTTGATGTTGGCCATGGTGCCCACGTTGTTGCCGCTGGAGGAGACGAACCAGCGCGAGCTGAAGGCCTGGCCGGACTCGCAGGCAGCCTTTATGTGCGAGTAGGCTTCCTCCTTCTCCTCGGCGGAGTTGAAGCTAGCGGCAACCGCCTCGTCCTCGCGATACGCCTCGGGTCGCGGTCCCGTCGACTTGTCGCGATATTGATACATGGTGCGGCCCTCGACCTGAACCGAGTGCTCCTGCAGGAAGGTCTCCATCTCCTGTTCGAGCGCCGGCAGATTCTGGATGGCGTATTGCTCATCCTTGGTAAACTCCACGTAGGCCTTGACCAACGGCACCAGCAGCGGGGGCTGGGAGCGACCCCAGTAGTAGACGCGATTGCTGCCGGGCACCATCTTATACTGCTTCACCAGATACAGCAGATTATCAATCATGCCACGCGCCGTCTGGAACATGCCGCTGAACAGCAGTCCGCGCACAATCCAATAGGTGTCCCAGTAGTAGAACTCGATGAACCTTCCGCTGGGCACAATGAACGGATTCGGCACATACATAAGCGAGTACATGGCCGGACTAGTCCTCACGCAGTCCTTCATGGTGCGTCCGAGCTGCTTCCAAATGCGATTCAGGTCCATGGCAAACTTCTTCAGGGCCGGGTCATTGATCTGCTCAACGAATTTGGGCTCACTGCGATAATCTGGCGGGCACCAGTACTCCAGCTCGGTGCCGGGCTGATCGAAGTGATTGTCCATGAAATTGGTCAGATGCTTCACCGACGTCTCGTTCTTCTTGCACGAGCTAAACAGCTGGTAGTCGGCAAGGATACGCTCTGGGGAATATCGACAGGTCATGTCGACAAAGTACTTGCTATCCTTATACAAATTGGACATCTGCACCGCTCGCAACAGTGGTCCAGCACAATAGATGGCACTGCACACACACACACGAATATATATATATATATATATATATATATATAGAAATTTTTTATGCAACTTCTCTTTTTCTATGCACTGCAATTAGCAGATCTTCAATTGGTACTCACCCATTGGCACCGGCGACGTGCGTTTGCCCACATTCATTGCATTTGCGAGCATTCGGCATTTTGAGAAATTAATTTTGTTTGTGTGGAGCCTGCGAAGCGAAATGACAAACTGTTTTAACCCAACTACGGCATGAGGCAACTAAAATAACAATACTAATGTTTTGATATATATTGCAAAGACTTGTGTGTAGGCCTGCTAGCTAGAGTCGAAACGCTCGCTAGGATTTTCTATAAATCAAAAGTCAGGCATAACATCCATTATATTGACCATTAAAACAAATTTGTCGACATTTGCCATTAAGAGTCAACAATGCTCCCCGCCATAAATCAGCGTAAATAGACAGGAAGCGCCTTAAAATCTGCTACACAAATGTGCCCCAGTCCCCGCTGGTCCTGGTCCCTGCCTTCTGCCTCCTGCTCTATACACATTTATTCGAAATTACCATAAATGTTTTGGTTCACAAAACCATCGTCCAGCTCCCCTCCGGGCGCTAAAGGCGTTTGCCTAAAAGCTATTGGCCTCTTGTCCATTTGTAATTTCCAGACAATTTATCAAACATGCCGACTGCCAGGCGAAAGGCAAAACGCAAGAAAAAGACAGAAACGAACGGAGAAATAGAGGGGAAAACACACAGAATTGAAATGGCGCAGAAAATGCGCTTCAAGTGGCCTCAGCGTCTCAGCGTCTCAGAGTCCTGGGAAAACGAGAGGAAAACTCGATTTCAGCGCCGATGCCATGGCAAGAAATCGACGACCAATGGACAATTTAAATCAGACGCGCTCCACTTCATAAATTTTTACCAAATGCAACGATTTTCGAAGGTAGCCCCACCTTCGCCCGGCAAAAAACTTTCACTTACCCAACCCCCGTCGCCTCCCGCACCCGGCAAAGCCAAAGAGCATTCAAATTAGGCATGTCCGGCATTCGAGTTGTCTGCAAAGTTTCTTAGCAAAATAAAAATTCAATTTGATTTTCACGTTCTCCCCCTCTTCTTCTTCTTCTTCTTCTTCTTCTTCTTTTGCGACTTTAACATTCGAGGCTGGTGTTTGCGCGAGATAAGGCTGGAAGGCTCGTCGACTGCGTCGGCCATTTGCCCGATGCCAATAAAATGCAGTGTATAATTAATGCACAGGCTTCAAAAGTGAGCAATGCAAGCAGCTCATTTACACACGCACATACACTGAGAGAAATGCAGTGTGAAGTATGGCAGGTGAGCACGAAAATCTTAGAGAAGACTCTAGTTGTAATTATAAGTCATGCACGGGCTTCAAAATTGAGGAATGTAAGCTATTTACTCACGCATTTACACTGAGAGAAAAAAGGTATTAAAGACGCTTAAAATAGTTCTAGATATGAATTATATTATGGAAAAAAAAAAAATGGAAAAGGCAGTAAAGTAGTTGTACTAATGAGGCTTGGCTTTCAGGGAGAGATTTCTTATTTCTAAGATTTCGAATGCCTAGACAACAGTCCATATGGTCTATTAGTAGATCTAGCCTAAATATCCATTGGTCACACTGTGATGTAAGCTCAACTGAGCCAATACTTCTGATTATCCTATTCGTATCCATACGAAGCTAAGAAGAAGATCTAAGACGATTTTTCTTGTGACAGCTATAAGCAAAAAGAGTTTGCAAAGGCAAATCCTATGAAGGCTTGTGGTATATTCTGTATACATAGTATGTATAATAATACTAATAATGTATATCATTTCCACTGATCATAATGGTTCAGTTATATTTAAGTTCTTTGGCAAGTAAATTCGCATATATAAATAAAAATACTCATATCAATAATTATTCGTCAGAATGTCTATAGACTTTTATATGAAACAGTTCAAGGCCTCAACTTCTTTAGTTTAAATAATTAACTTAATAGTACTTGTAGTTTCCCCTAGTATTTTTGGGCAGTGTAGCCATTCAGTGGACTGTGCATGTTGACACTTGGCGCGAGGCATTGATCAACTTAACGAGCCGCAGCAGCAACAGCAGGAGCAGCAGGAGCAGCAGTGAGTCAGAGTCAGAGTCAGTCAGCGACTGCAGCTAATTGAGTATTCTACTTTTAAGTGGCGCCTCGGAACTGCAGCAGTCAGTTGCAAGCGACACACTTCAGCCGCGTGTTGCTTGTGGCTGCTGCAGCCAGTCCTACATGTGTGTGAGTGTGTGTGTGTGTGTGTGTGTGGTCACTTGGGCAGTGCAAACGCATGCATTAATCAATAAGTTGCCATAAATTAATTAAAATAAAAAATGTAAAAAAAATTAAACATATATGTATGAAAATAAAATGCGAAGCGAGCGCAGCTCGAGGTGAGCTCAAGCCCGACTCAGCGACTCGCATGCGTCTCTATTGGCTTTAAGCAGGAGCTATCAATCAAAAAACTGCAGCTGCCTTAGGGTCGGAATCTCGGACTGAATCACGTAACGCCATGCCAGGCAGGGCGCATGATAAATTGTCAACACGCTGACGTTTGTCTGCAGCGATTTAAAAACTACTTAAAATGTAAATGTTGTTTCGCAGTTGTGCGTTGTTGTGTGGGTGAGTGGTTGGGTGGTGCGCTGGGCTGTTTGGCTTTTATGCACACGTCGCAGCGCAGACTGCGAAAAATCATGTTGTTGACTTTGAAAAAAATATGTGTGCAAAAAAATGCGCTATTGTAAATAACGGCACATAAACACGCAGACCAACTGCCTGACACTGAGACTTCCAGCTGACTGAGAGACGGAGCGATTGACGAACTGAGAGACTGCCTGACTGACTGAGAGACTGATGACAGGGCATTGTCAACAGTCAGCAGCAACAATCGACACACACACACACACACACACACGTCTGCTGTGAACTACTATGTGTGTGTGTGTGTTTGTGCTACGCCTTTTATTTTTGTTGTTGTTAACAAATACATTACATTTGAAGTGTTAAGCTTGCACTTGGCATTCACTCAGTTTGCTGCTTGTCTCAGCACTTGGCAGGACTCACCTGTCGTTTATGCATCTATATATGTACGTATGTAACTACATATGTATATGTACATATGTATGTTTCAAGCAGACTTTGATATCCACTTGTCAGCTACACTATAGTTAATGACATTTTGAGCTACACAACGAAAATCACAAGAATAGTTAAAATATTTAAAATGCGTATGCAAATAAAAAAGAAAAATGTTGCAAAAATAAATACATCTATCTCTATGTACATACTTCCATAATGTGCCTCATATTAAAGCATGAATCAGATTAATATAATGCAGAAACACGCACAAATGATATGGAATAGAATAGTATAAAATACATATAACTTACGCTTATAAAACTTAAATTGCAATAGAAAAAAGAATTTTTTTTTTTTTATAAAAATTTTTTTATTTTTTAAATATAAAAGTAGGATTTTTTTATAATTTTATTTTTTATTTTTATAATATATATAATATATACCTAAAATCCTGAAAATTAAACATTTACCTTTGACAATAAGAAAATTAATAGCTAAAAATATATGTATATATAATAAATAAATTATTTGCCAAAAAATTGGTATATAAAAAAAAATTGTTAACATGGCAAACAAAAAAAAAAAAAAAAAAAAAAAAAAAAAAAAAAAAAAATAAAAAAAAAAAAAATAATAATAATAATAATAATAATAATAATAATAATAATAAAA